TGGGACATCAGCCAGATGCAAACGATCGAACCAATCAAGTCCCAAAACATTTAAATCATTCTTCGTGACGTAACAAATTCCTGTGAATTTGGTATTGCGGAAGGAAACAGAACATTTGAGTTCACCAATTAGTTTGAGCCGCCCACCACAGGCGCTGAGAAGAGACTGGGAAGTATTGGTGATAGGTGGTCTGCCAATATAATTCCAAAGTTTCTCTGATATAACAGTAATATCAGAGGCGGTATCTAGCTGCAGACGTGCATCATGACCATTCATCTGAAGATCAAGATATTTCCGCATAGCTGGTGTTGTGACTTGACGGGTTGCGCGTAGACTCAATGATCTTTTTGGAGATTTAGGACCAACATTTTGTTGAGCTTTTGCTGGATTTTGACATCTGGGTTTGCGTGGCTGACAAAAACCATTTTTATGACCGATGATGTTGCACTTGCTGCAACGATGATTTTTGTATGGACAAGACTTTACAAAGTGCCACGCGCCACAATGCCAGCATGGTGATGGAGGGGTCTTCTTTGTCGTATTTTGTGAAGTTGGACGAGTATCTGTAGATTTCCGCGGGACATTAGAAGAAGGTGGGTCAGGAGTGGATGATGAGAGATTTTTGCTCTTTCGTAATGCACGAATATCAGAGCTTCTCGAAGGTGTTGATTCGACCAGGTGTGTGTCTTTCTGCAGATTAATCAGCCGTTGATATTCATCAGCTATGTCATGTAATGTTAACTTGGGATTTTGTTCTAGCTGATTGAGCAGTCGAGTTCGGATATCTGTGAAACGAGGAGATTGGAGACTGCATATGAGAATCAAGGCTTTGAATTGATCATCTGTTAAGGACCTGAGTCGAAATCTCTCACATTCTCGGTTGACTGTGCCAACGTGAGTAAGAAAATCATCATTTTCATTCATTGCCAGCTTGAGGCAACGATAACGTATACTGAATAATGAGGAGTGGTCTCCGAAATGTTCACGCAGCAACTTTATTGTATCATCGAAACAATTGTCACGTGGTTTCTGTGGTAAAATTAGGTTGCAGTACCGTTCATATTCTGCCGGACCCAATTTACGTAGCAACACTCGCACCTTCCAGGCATCGTCTTGTGAGGCGAGATCAACAGTGAATAAATCCTCATAACGTTGATACCATGTGTCAAAAGTGACATTAGCCTCTGGGTCATAATTGAACTGTGAAATACTGTTCACAATGCCGTCGACAGATGGTAGCATGGTATGATTGGGATTGCTTGAAGGTGAAGCTGGACCAGTCTGTTGGTTGACGAACATTTCCATTAATTTCAATTGTTGTTCAAACAATAATTCCAATTTAGAATAATCCATAGTAAATTGTTATGTTGCTGCTGCTGAGTGGTTAATAGTAGTTAGTTTTCCCCGTCGCCAAATTGTTATGTACTCGTCGCTGAATTATTGTTATGGACTGGTCGAGAAACTAATAGTCCTGACGCGAGAAGGCGGAAATCAGAAGACCACTAGGTTTGCGATGATACTTCTATTGTCCAAACACAAGGAGACGAAAATAAATGGTCTCACACCAAAGTGGTAAGTAAGTAAAGTCACAAAATTGTGAATGCGAAATATATATAAATGTTTCAGACAAAGCGTGGGAACAAATCATTAGACAGTCTTAACATGAATGGCTAATTATAATGGAGTGTCGATCCAATTATACATAGCGAATATAGCAGACATGCCAACAAACATATATGGATATATGTCACCAAGCAACGGACTGTCAACAAACACTCATATTATATATAATATAATATAAGGAGAATATACATTATTAAAGGAGACAAGTTCACACAAGTGAAGTGGTCACAGACTAACCGAGCAAACAGAAAGAGAGACCAACATGCACACACACACATAAATATATATATGTGGATACATATCAGTCTTCAAACCTGCAGCACTGTAAAAATTATAAAAGGCTTTGTGTTTAAGTTTTCGAGTGCTCGTAAAACACGTGAGTAGTCTCAGATCAATTCCTGACCAGCGAACTCTTCGATTTTGTCTAGAAGGCGGTACGACTGGAAAAGTGTGAGAGTTGAATGTCAGACTGTCAAGCCTTACCCCTTGAAAACAACGGTGCTATTGGAACTTGAAATCTTAGAGCATGAATTTTTGTATCTTCCTAGGAATGCAAGAAACTGGAAGAATGATCGGCTTGACGCATACATATAAAGCTTTGTGAACATGCCTCCCTAACCATAATACGAAATGTTTTGTGAGTGTTAATAAGTTGAATCACGTTATATGGAAATAAGAGGTTTAAGAAGAACATTGGATAGATAAAAATCAGCGGTAAATGAAAGACGGTAAGCGAAGAAATCGGTCTGTATAGACGGTTGCTTTATTTCTGTAAAAAACTACATACGTTATGCTAACTATAAAATTAGTAGCATCCTAAAAATAATCTTTAATTAATTAGATTAGAAAGAGAAGTGATAGGTCGGGTTCTCTTCTGAGCTGCTTAGGAAGACAGTAATAGATATCACTGGCTGGAGAGTTCATTTCTTAATGTTTATGCTGTTCTAAGCATGCACATGCTGATAAAGCTCCTGCAAGTGATAGAAACAATTAAAAGCACTGTTTTCGCAAAATGCTTCAGTCCACAACAGAAGTCATAATTAGCTGCTCCTGAAGCAAAAAGGAATTCTTCTAGATCCCACAAATGGATTATTGCTGACTGACATCTATATAATTCATACATTACCACAAATATCCAGATTTGAAGGAATTAGCAGCATTAATTAGTCACAACAAGATGAATACAGCATAATTTGAGGTTGAATTCTGTTCAAATATGATGGTGTGTCGGAGGCACAGTGGTTAGGACTCTCGCCGACCATGCACATGGTCCGAGGTTTGATCCCCTGCTGACGCACACCTGATATCTATGGTCGGCCTGCAAATTTGGGCTACCGATATCCATGCTGAAAATTCCATACTTGTACCAAAAATACAGTGTGGAATCAAGCCGTAATCAAAAAAAAAATTAAATGATATCCCAAGTGTTTTCTTGTTACTAAGAAATCTCTCAAAACATGCTTTTGTGGTACTGATGATCTAAGGAGTACTGAATGTCTAATTTCTTCTACTTGTCAGCAGTATGCGACGATGATCTATGTTGGAAATTAGAATTCATGGACCACTGCATTCTGTCACAGTGACTGAGTGGTCTACGTCATGGGTTTAATTCTCAGTGGAGTCATTGGTCCGTACTGCTAAATAGCCCTGGACTAGAATGAAACAAATGTCCAGTACTCCTCGTTTTTTTCAGTAGTTGTGTAATTGATGTCAGCAAGTGAACTGGCTGGAAACTGAACATAATAACTGCTCGAAGACTTTGATACATTTAACCTTAGTTATATTTATTCAAGACTATAATCAGTAATGAGTGTTACTGACAATATTAACTATAAGACGGTTCTAGAAGAATTTGGCTTACGGGGGAAAACTAACAACTTGACAGTATAAACAGAGAAATTAACGGTTCAAGGGAACATAGAGAAGATAACCAACCAGCAACAGCAAAAATAACCAATCACTATCAAAAGGTGAAATTTGGTAAAGGTTGATTCCTTCACTTATCATCATTTCAATTTCAGATGACAGAACGGATGGGAATATCAAAACCGGAATAGGAAAGGCGAGCGAGTTGCTCATCAGGGAGGAAATCTTATGCACTGAAAATAAAATAGTAAATAAATAAATAATAATAAATAAACACCAATGTATATGGGTACTAGACTTCCAGTGACTGCCACGAGAAGCATTTCCAACAGAGTGCTTTAAATTTCGTTCCTCAACTGCCTTTGCTGGCTTCATTCTGAAGATTAGATGGCCTGACAGAAAGAATAAGCGACAAGAATTTTCGGGAAGAAACAAATCAACAGCCTAGTACTCAAGATACATGCCGAAGAAAATGAAGATGGATCGCAAATACTCTGTGGAGATTGTTAAATGGCATCACTCACTCCTGGGGAACTTAAAAGGGAAACGAGTTAAGTGTCGGTTTGAGGGTGATATGGAGTAGAGGGTGTGAGGAGGAGACGAAAACTTTTGAGTCAGCTTTAGAGGACTTTAGAGGATGAATCTTGACTTCTGTTAATTCACAGCATGGCATCATTACTAGCCAACATTGCTTGTAGTTGCATTCACATTAAGTCTGAGGAAATATAACCTTTCAGACTTCTTGTCAGAATTCCAGGTGTCAACGGAGTAGTTGTATGCAACTAGCAGGTGGCTTCTGACCTAAGTTTTCTGCTTCTTGGCATTTAGCAATCAGAAAGGTGTATTTGCACTGGACAAAGGATTAGAAGTATGACAATAGTTGCTAGCTGGTATCCGGTGAAACTATTCAACACATGAATGTCAAATGAATAAATGAACTCCATCAAAATTGCAGCTACGCCTTAATACTGGCTAATGAATGCCAACAAGCACGAAACCCTAAGTCAAAATGACCTGCCTGCTTATTACCTCAAACTATCTCATAACAGCACATATTACTTATTTCTCAACGCCGTATAATCCAGATAAGAAAATAAAAAACACAAGAAACGAATGAATAGGAATTGTGTGTTTTGAGAAAAACATCATCGCTTATAATTGTTTCATAAGTTATTTAAAGTTGTTTACTTGCCAATCAGTAGACATCTGTTCTTCATAATATTCAGGGGAACAGATAAATATGAACTCTTCCTGTTGTTTTATCCTCTATGAGATATAAACATTGTCATTGTCAATAAAACTAAATTGTTTGTTTTTAATATTCATTATTTCAACTCTTGTTGTCATAGTATTTTTGTCGATGTAATAAAGGGTGAAATGTTTTCATGAAGGAGGACAATCAGATGTTTCAATGAGAAATGTAACTAATACCATACGCACCACTCATAATATGCCTTAAAATTGATGGATATATATATATAGGTGGATATGATGGCCTCATAAATGTTTAGGAGGAAACTATGCCTCAACATAAATTCACACTGTACACATTAATATTTTCTCTTTTAATCATAAAAGGTACGAACTACATTTTTAAATCAACTGATTAATTCTCAAAGATTTAGTTAGGACAAGTACAGAGGAGACAACAAGAGGAGTTGTAGAGTAAGTAAAAACACCTATAGATGTGTATATATATATTTCACTAAAACGTTTCAGTATAATGCTAATTTTTGACTAGAGTTTCTATGGTTTTTACCGACTATACATAATTCATATTTCTTGATATAAGAATAGAACAGAAACAAACCCAATCAAGAGCTGATTGCTCGACAGATATGTAGGAGAAAATGGAGACGGATTGATTGGGGATACATTGAGAAGACCATCGGATGACATAGTGTGCAGTGCAGGACCTCGAGTGGAATCCCGATGGTAGGCGACGAGTGGGTCGTCCGAGGGGGGGCACGGAAGGGGTCATGCGATGAAGAGACAAAAGAATATGGGCAGTCGTGGGACCAGATGAAAAGAACAGCGGAAGATGGAGCGAAGTGAAGATGTGTTGCTGAAGCCTTGTTTTGCACTTGGGACTCAAGGGAATATCAATAATAACAGAAGAAGAATAACATAACTCAACAGAATTACATAAAATATAAAATTTAATAGAACTAGCTAGACTTGTAAAAGTAACAAAGTCAAAAGATAGGTGAGGGCAGAAAATTCTCTGCAAAATTTAATACGTATAACGTAGTTGGCACAAATTCCTTCTGAATACGAAGATGTATTCCAATTGCTTATATATGTATGTAAGGTCGTACTCGTAGACCGTGCAGGAAGCTGGGTGAGATATAATGAACAACCTTAACAGCTTTGTTAGAGTTGTTGTAATAATATATGTGTACAACTTGGGCACTGTGGTAGTAACTAATATAGAGTTGTTATAAATTATTTAAATTAATCTCCACAGAATTAGCTGGACTGGTAAATACACATGGGAGAGGGCAGGTCGTCTTTATTTCTAAAACTGAATTTGGGTTGGCTAGGGAATAAACCGCATAACTTAGCAGAGTTAAAAGTCCTTTTGAAGGACACTATTAGCCTCTTCCGTCAGTTGCAATCTTAGGAACACTCATATTTTGGGAACTTTGAGCACAGTATAATTTGCCGATTGTTTTTCCAGCACAAATTATTGCCGCTCATAATCCTATCGTGGTACTGACACAACGTTTTAATCTTGTTTATATACATGAGTAACGGACTGTTTGAATGGGGAATAAGGCAAATGTAATTAGTCAATAAGATGAGTATTCTCAGTATAAAAAAAATAAATAAAATGTTACAATGTGTAAACGTAAACTGAAATAAGCCAAAACATAATGGAATATTATTTCTTATCCTTTGATTTGATTAGTAATACTAATTTTCGTATCTCTGGTATTAGTGATGAGTCACTGCTGTAAATAAAGTGAGAAGACGTGTAATCGTCACTTCCATGTCGTGCCTGTTTCGCAATAGAGGAGCTAGGCCTTCTGCTCTCCCCATTAATGAGTCCTGGGTATTCAATCTGCTTCTGAAGCCCTCAGAATCCTTAGAACCCATTAATGGTGAGAACAGGATACCTAACTCCTCTATTGCGAAACACATCATAGAAGCAGGACATAAAATTGATGTTTACATGTCTTTTTAACTTATATGTAAATATATATATAGTGCGTGTTTGCGGCGTATCCTAAAGTTTGTGGTAGCCCTAGCTGTCGATGAGGGAGTTTAAACCATCTTTGTGAGTTCAAAAACAATTCGTCATCACACTAAATCTCCCATGGTAAACTTTGTTATAATTCCATAGCAGAAATACTGTTACCTTTCTTATTTGGTTTTTTGGTCTTCATTGTTATTTTCACCTTCAACATGTCCTTTTAACTTAACCTAAGTCACTTTTCTCACCTCTTAACTCTTTATTAAATCAATATATATTCATTCCTATGACAAGTCTGTGTGTGATCAGATTATTCTAAATGTGCTGCACAAATACATTACACGATTCAGACAAATTATATCTTCTTATTACTTTGTCTTAATTCATAGTTGTTTTGCTAGTAAACTGTTTTGAAACACAAAATTGTGGGGCATTAGTTCACGAATAGCTGTAACGTCAGCGTATTTCAATATTCTCCCTTGAATATTTCCATAGATGACCTTAAAAGATATGCCAACATCAGCCTTATGGTTCATGTTGATTAGATGTTAAACTATAAATGAATTCGGTTATCTGCCACATGCGCCTATTGATTTTTCAAACTCCATCCGTCTTTCTTACCATTTCGGAATATGCTATCCCAAACTCACATGCGAAGAGGGATTACTCTTCCACATACACGGGTAACTTGCCATATAGTGTGGATAAGACATAATCACTCATGCATTTTTGAGGTTTGTAGTGCAGGACATTTTTGACTTTTGTGGTGATTACAAACTGGGCTAAATAATAAGCCGACGGATAACCGAGTTTAATCAGTGTTAAAAACCTACCAATTATCTCCCCATTGTAAGGTAATTTGATGAAGACATCTTTCATAGGGATGGAACAGACTGAAGGTTTTAAAACTGATTGACTTCTATACCTGTTTAAAATTTTGAAAGGATATCAGTTTAAACAAGAATGTCAATCAATATTTTATTTTTATTCTCCAGAATACCAGCAGTACAAATACGCTGAATTCTCTTGAATAAGCTTTTCAGCAAGTCTTTTTTAAACTGTAGAGGACAGAAGATGCAAAAATTTAAGTATTTCCCTGTTCAGCTAGGCTTTCTATAAATTGATCGTTTTGCTGAACCACCATTTCCCTGACTCAGAAGTATGCATAAAATGCAAGCTAGCCATCTGGTTGTCATGCGACCAATCACTCCTGTGTTATTTTCAGTTTGAATAATTTCCCTGAAGAAGTTCAGATTCAGCTTGCCTCAAGGAAAATTGGGATTATTTATTTTAATTTCGTTGAAATGTATACAAATATAATTTTTTACATGAATACATGTTCTCTGTTTCAATTAGTACAATGATTAATCATTTTTGAAATTGTCACTGAAAGACTAATTCATATTTGTTCAAATTAACTTTTTTTTCATTTTTATCCGGTAATTTTGATTTTCTAGGGAATGCAACAATGATTTTTGTGATGAATCAGACTGCTCCCGTTCCTTTAAAGGTACAGATGAGTTTTTATCATTATTTTAATTGTTTTTCCCTTGGGATCCCAGTAAAACACAAGGCCTCGATAGTATATCTCCACTTTAGCCATATTTCTGATTTCCTTTTTCGGTTGGCCTCAGAATCTCGTCTCTCCCATTGTCTCACTCTCCTCCATATCACCCTCCGACCATCATCCAATGAATCTTTTTCTATTCAGATTCCATTTGAGCCATAACCTTGTACAAGATGTCAAACAAAGGTGTCCTCAGTGGGTGTCTAGTCCACTTCCATTTTCTTCAGTTTATATGTAATAATGTTCTTTTTCCTGTTGTTGTTTTGCTGACTACAACCCACTTCCAAACAGCTGATCACTCGGATATGTTCCCCACAACGAGTAGACTTAAATGGAACACCAACAGCTTTTTTATCAGTTCATGGTGGAGTGTATATGTCGTTTTTACCTGCAGATAGTCTGTATCTGATTGCATGAATTATGCTTTCATGGCTTACAACGATAGTTAGTCTGTTGTAACAAAGAGTTCTTTGAATGGTTCACTGCCAGAGGTTTTCGTCTCTAATTCTTTCTCTCCATTTGATCTCTAATATAGAGCAAAGGCAGCTGTTGAAAACTGTCTGCAGTAGCTTGTTCGTAATGCTGTTCTTGACGTGTACTGCAAGTCTTTGGATCACACATAGACGAACTCATTTAACTTTAGTGTTTAAAATCCCTAAATTTGTTCTTCATACTGAGTCCACTAAATTTACATACTGATTTCAGAATGATGAGGGACTGTATTGCCTTATCAATATTTTCCGGCTTTGATATTCTCTTCCATCCTGCCTGTAACTGAAACGATAGTGACTACCTACCCGACAGAAGTGAGATTTTTCAAACTTCTTCTACTGGTAGTAGTAGTAATAAGAGTTTGTTGTTACCTGGGGATCTCCATCATTTTCATCTTCTATCTGTTCACTTGAATTTCTGTATTCTCTGTTTCTTCTATAAACCTACTGGTTTTTGATCGTAGGTCTTCGAGTTTTTGTGACACCAGAGATAAATCATCCACGAAGTTAAGATCTCTTATAGTTTTCTTATCGTTACAGCGTATCTCTATCTTCTCGCTTCTTGTAGTCTTCATAATATTCGAGTTCACCACAATTAGGAGCATCATTGATGATAGTAGGGCGAAAGCCCTGTCTTACTCCTACCTTCACTTCAAGAGCTTTGCTGAGCTTACGCGCTATGGATTACTTAACAATTAGCGTTGCAACATATATATTTTGAATGATAGTGATAATTATCTGAGGCATACCATATCGCTGCAGCAGTTTCCTAATTTCTCTACGATCAAAGCTGTCATTTTATACTTTGCGGATAATACAAACATTTAGTGGTATCGTAAGGTCCTTTGTTCCCATGAATAAGAAATGGAACTTTGAAAGTGTAGTCGCTTAGCTTCTAGGCTAAATCTTGGAGCTAGTAGCATTTCAGGAAACGATCCAATGCGTTTAAAACTAAAAACACTTTCTATTATGGGTAAATTTTGTTTTGATAAAGTCTCACAGTGTTACACAGTAATGTTTACTGATGACGTTTCAAGCACAATTTATTGCTCATAATCATATCAAGGTAATCACACAACTTCCTAAATTCATTTATATAGTTCCATTGTTTTTCACTTGATTTGATTGGTAGTAGTATTTTCCATATTTCGGGTATGAGTGATGAATCATTTCTATTGCATGTATTGGGTGTAGACTCGATGAACAAGGATTCAGTAATCAATCTCTCTCTCCACACCTATATAGATTACTTTTTAGAATTTCAACTCTCTCTCCAACTTTGTTACGTTTTCATCACCAGATTATGGACTAAAGCCTCTAGGAAGCTATACAATGAAGAGCTGGGACACTGGAGTTAAAAAAAACCCAACTATGTAGGTTATAAAAAGCACTAAAGCCGAAATCATTGCTCATTTTAAAATCCATTCAAACAATTTGAACTCCAAATTGTTTGATTTCCATCGGAGACTTATTTATCGCAGTAAACGTAAATAAGTACGATTATTTAAATCAAAATATGCCCATTAAAAGACTTTGTCGAATATGGATACCAAACAGTCTCACATTTCAGAAGCTTAACGTACGAACAGTGTTGAATAGGTTTCGGTAACATTTAATAAATTCTCTCTCTAAACTGCAGTGACTAAACGTTTCCCTCATTCTGAAGACGTTTTTGTTATCCTATAGACAATGTTTTATTAATGCTATCGTATTATCATCATTCTGTTAAGTTCCCAGTAGAATATAGAGCCTCGACAGTACATCTCTACTTCCCACGGTTCTCTATAGCCCCTTCCAACTGGCTTCACTATTATTATTATTACCATCTCCTTTAGTTACTAGAAGAACATAGAGCTTCAGACGCACGTCTTCATTGCGCTCAATCTTCCGCCAAGGTTTTCATTAGGTTCCACCCCTGCCCGCATGCTTTCATCTCCTCTTCGTATGACGTCCTCTATGTCACCCTAGCGCTGACGACCAACTCGCCGCTTCCCATTCGGGTTCTGCTCGACTGATGGCCCGTCGTGTGACGTCAGTTAATGGTTTTCTGAGAGTATGGTCAATCGACCTTCATTTCTTCCTGGATCTTTTTTTTCACAGTTGGTCCCTGTTTGGTTCGCTACCAGATATCTTTGTTGTTGGTCTTTTCTATTAATCCGTCTGATCTTGAGTAGTGGAGAGTGAAGAGAGCTGTTGATCAAAGTCTGTGGTTTGTTTGAAGTCCGCCTCATGATGCACCAATTTCTCAAACCATGTAAAAACACTGAATGATTTGACAAAACTGCCGAAGATCCGGATCACATTCATTATGCTGCATGCAGTAGGCTTTCACACTGATTTTAGATTAATGAAGGACTATCTTGCTTGTTGCGCCCAGCTTTGATGTGTTGAACTGTAGTTCGTGTAGCTGAAACGATTCTGCCTAGACAAGCGAAAGAAGCAATTTATTCCAAATGTCTTACATCAGTAGTGACTGTTGTTTGTCAGTTCTCTTGAACACCTATGCATTTTCTATGTAACTTGGAAGTCCTATCTTCGCGACGTTTTGCGACAGCTTGTCACATCAGTCTACCTTCCAGCAATAACCGCTTTCTGGTTAGACGCTGGCCAGGAAGAATAATCCCAAACAACAGACTCTCGTTATGAACCAACCAGTTACCTATTGTTCAAGAGATATTGTGGTAAGCGAAAGAAATGGAGTGGATATACTCTTGACACCCCATACCAAACTAAGACCTCAGTGAGACTAGAACAGAAAGTGCTGAATTGTAAGACTGAGTGTTCCATGAAGAAGATCATATTAAAAGGAAATGAGGAGCTATGGTTTGTCGTGCAGTCAACTAAAATGACTGCATAGAACAGCGTACAGTGGAAGTGGACTACAGAAGCCTAATATTCCAACTCTACTGTCAACAACAGAGTATGCAATAAATTAGTGCTCAAAGTCAGTCTAAATTTGCATTTTTAATTTTGGTTGTGACAAATAGTGTATGAAAATTCCCTTCAGTCATAAACCACTCACATATGAGCTTCCTCCGATCTACTGAATTATCTGGAAAAGGAAGTTATTTATCACTTTTTTCGTTTCAAAAAAACTGAAATTTCACTTCATGAGACTTTTGTTAATCATTCCTGTCAGCTGGAATTTCGGATTTTAAAGTGCTTGGCATATCAAAGTGTTGACCACGTCTACAATTTGTGTCAGTTAGACAAACAATAAGAAGGAAGAAACAATATTATAAGGTTTAGTTTGTCGCCTACAGCCGCATTCATCAATTCTCTTTGATTTCACATTGTTATCGTATTATATTATTGTTCCGGGAGAAAAATAGCGCTTCAACAGCAGTTGTCTATAGAAAGCAGCCTTCTTCTCCACTGGTTCTCGGTTGTTTGTATGCGCGTGGCACTGGGTAATTGTAACCAACTTCCATTCATTTTGAATTGAAACTTGCTGTCATTCTCCTGCAGGGGAAGATTAGTTCCCAAAGCATAAGAGCTTTTGCCGTTGTTGGTGATATCATGATAACCAGTGTGCTTTGAAGCTGTGCTAATAATTCGTGACTAATTGGGTCCGGCATATCATGATAAAGTGGATGAACATCAAAAGCACTGAGAAGTGTAGCGCCATATCACGCGCTAGTTGACAAAGTTGCAATTCACAGATCACTGAATTCCAGCCTAAGTAGCTGAAAGGTCAACCAGCATGATCTTGTCATCTTATGGTCATGAGTCTGACCGCTGTTGAAGCCATGAGTGCACAATGATGAAGAAGCCAAAATTAGGACGAAACAACTACCCAGTGCTCCTATATGCTTTTAAATAATCTCTCTAATCAATGTTGATTCATGACCGAAATCTAAGAATCGAATAGAACTGACCGCGAATGCACTAATAATTTTGCTGTGGTTTTAATTTTACAAAAACAAGGTGGCGTTGTTGGTTCAGTGGTAGAGTTCTCGCCAACACGCACTTTATGATGTGTACAATTCCTAGACAACTTATTCCTAATCCTCACCTAGCAAATAGTAAACCCATTGACGAAGGGATGTTTAGTGTGTGGCTAGCACCAGCTACTCAAGCGTGAAACAACATCACGGTTACTGTAATCTGTCACCTCACACCTGAAGTCCTATATCACACTCATTATGTAGAGAAACAAAGAGGATAATCTCATAAATTTATCCATAACTAACAATGTATTAATAATAAATCTCCTTTAAAATTAGCGTTCACAAGTATTTTCTTTTACAGATGATGAAATTGCATGTGAAAATAAGGTACAACGGTTGAATCGTGTAGAACGAGTAAGTTCATCTTATTCAGTTGTTTCCACATATTAAACTGAATGCATGTCCTTTGTTTTACCGAATACAGATATTTTAATGCTTTTTTAAGGCAATGTGAGACAGGAGATACTCTGAAGAGATCAAATGATGACACTGCACACCAGGCAGAGCTTAATAGAGAACCATGAGTTATGTGTCCGAGTAGGATATGGGGGAAGTAGTGTGAATGGGAATTTTGAGCCTCTGTTCAGTTGTCAGTCCAGTTGAAGAAGATTTGTAGAGAAGAGTATGAAACGGAAGTGTGCAGTTGAAGAATAATCTTCCACTCGAAATCTAAGGGAGTATTATTGATAGTTATCATAAATACAACGCGTGTGAAGTCTTCCCGACTCTACTAATATCTTTAAACAGTAATATACAAATGTATGCTACAGGTGATATTAATGCACGTCAGTATGGTATTTACTCATAAATGGGAAACTAACCAAAATATATGTGGAGTTGGTTGGAGGATTTCATCAGGAGCTGACGTCATTTAGAGAAGCATTGGAAGTTCTGGGAGTACTGAACACCTGTCTAGTCATCCTTGTTTGGGACGCACCCACTGGAGTTTGAACCTGGGACCTTTTGGTTACAAGACCAGCGAGTTCGCAAACCATCAAGCGAATTGGACTCAATCCGATGACCATAACACGAATTCTAACCTCTGTTAATTCATGGCATAGTGCGACCAATTCGTAATGTGCTTTTCGTTGAGCTACTACCTAAGCTTTAGCCTACTGGTCATGGCTTCCCACTATGACCCCAGGTTAACTGCCTGAATAGGACCAGTCGCTAGTGAGCGTCAGATTAATTTTAATGTATTGATTATTGTATGGATTCTGTTTGAGTGGTTGGAGGATTTCATCATGAGATGATATGTAGAGTTCTTAATTCCATGTGAAGACCATATTTGGCGAAGGGGTATACTGACGATAGAAATACTGGAGCTTCATGTCAAGCCCAGCACCATTTACTTAGGGAGCTGTATTAACCAGTATTAAGGTAGCAAAATAGGTAAAAACAGAGATGAAAGTGAATATACAAGTAGAATATTACACCTCCCTGAAAACAAGGAAACATTTGTAATAGACTCTTCTTCAGAAGACTTGAAGGACTTATTCAGTAAGGTGAAAAGCAATCTAGTAAACCCTTCAACTGCAGATGTGATTAATACAGAGAGATTTATTTAAATAGACCCCACAAAATCCCATTTATCACACATTCATGGTTTGCTGAAAAACTACAACCCGAACATTCCTCTTCCTCACATAATGTCAGTGTGCACAACCTTTGCCGACAATTTTGGGAAGTGGTTGGTGGAAACACTAGATCCTATCAGAAGACGTTTATCCAAGTTTGCTTTGAAAAAATACCTTCGATTTATACAGTGTCTTCATAATGTGAATATCAAAGAAAAAACCATGGTTTCCTTAGAGGTGGATTCCTTATTTGTAAATGTGACTACACCTCCAATAACAATTTCTTATTACCAGTTTCTATATCTCATTTGAAAGGGTTGCTACTTTTATATACTGACAATGTCACATTTACATTTGATGGTGAGTTTTTCGGCTAGATCAATAAAGTTGCTTTGGGAAATCCCCTAGGTCCCCTATCAACTGACATATAAATGTCACATGTTGAGAACCAAGCTGTTGAGTTAATCATGCCACGAAAATCCTTAACTGGATAAATTTACTACAAAGTGGCATATCGACAATACACGAAAAAGAAAATGACGATTGCTTGCCATTCATAGATGTACTCATAACTCGCCGATAAGATGTGACAGTTGACCGATCTGTTCAAAGTAAGCCCACTTGAACCAGACAGTATCTAAATAATCGTTGATCATATGCGTTCGGGAGTGAAAAGGCGTTAGTTAAGTGATTCTTCAGACTCATTCAACGCACATGTAAACTGGAGAAGAGACATAAATCTCACTATGATATCGTTAAGTAGTAACTGCTTCCTGAAATTCATTAAACGTCACAAAAGTGTCAAACAGACGTCTTCACTGATCCAATAAGCATCTGCTAAAGGGTGATCAACAAAGTCTGATCCATAAACAAAGACTCATGGCGGTAATTAATACAACCTATTATGCAACTAAACTTATTTCCACATAGAAAACAAGATCTATGTTAACATGTAAGCCCTCACAGCATCTAAGCGATACTCTTACATCCTAATGTGTTTATCAAATTACATATATGTGATCACACATACACAGTGAGTATCCCCAATCTTTGCATGCTAGAACTACAGAAAGCATTCCAAGTTGGCTACAAGAACAGTTAAAATCACTGTGGAAGTAAATGTCCAACATTATCTATCGTAAAGCACATCATATAGGCAAGTCACAAGAATAATTCCAATAATACCTTGAAACCCATACATAAAACAGGTTTGGCTCACATACTTAAGCTAGTTGAAGCCTTATTCATAACAAGGCTTAAACCTCTCTTTTGTTTTAAAAAAGTATTTGTCACTACTCTGTACCTAACTTGGTGTTCCGATTACAGAATCATGGCTCAATTCACTCAGTGAATTTTTAAGCCTTTCTCTCCTACCCTCTATTCCTATGCCATCTTCCATCCTATTATCTGTGGCCTTGAATTTTAAACAACTTAACCTGTATTGTAATCTTTTATGCTGTGCTTTATTATTTATGAAAGAATATGACAAGTACGTGTGTGATCAGCATGTGTGAAATGCAATGCGCAAACACGTTCCGGATTAATAACTTCATATTGTTTTATCCAAATTCATACAGGCAATGAATTGATTTCAAAAAGGGAGAATTCACTAGAAAATCCCTTAAAACTGAACGAACTGTTTGCCACTTATTATTAATAATTTTCCCTTGGGTTCCTAGTGAAATTATTATTATATCACTTTATCCAATTACTCCTAGAGGAACATAAGGCTTCAGCTGTGCGTCCCCATTGCCTTCTATTTCCGGCCAACTTTTTCACTCCGCTCCAGGTCTGCCTACATGCTTTCATATCCTCCTCACATGACCTCCTCCAAGTCACCTTCGCACTGACGACCAACTCGCCGATTCCCTTTCGGGTTCCACTCGAGCAATGGCTTGTCTAGTAATGTCACTTGATGGTTTCCTCAGCGTATGGCCAATCCATCTCCATTTCTTCCTGACTATTTGTTTCACAATCGGTTCCTGATTGGTTCGCTACCAGAGATCCCTGTTGCTGATCTTTTCTGGCTGGCCATGTGATCTTCAGTATTGAGCGAAGACAGCTGTTAATGAAAGTCTGAAGTTTGTTGGAGATGCTCTTTATGACGTGCCAAGTCTCTGATACGTAAAGTAGCACTGAATTGACATTGGAGTTGAAAATCCGGATCTTATTTTTGATGCTGAGTGATGTTGACCTCCACACTGGAATACAGGGCTTCAACGACACATCTTCATGTTGTCCTATCTTCTGCCATCCTCCCCATTATTCATCTCTTCCTCACATGACATCCTTCATGTCACCCTAGGACGACCCACTCATCGCCTACCATCGGGATTCCACTAGAGGTCCTGCACTACCCACTGTGTCACCTTTCAGTCTCCTAAATGTATACCCGGTCCAACTCCATTTCCCTCTACTTATTTGTTGAGCGATGGGCTCTTGATTGGTGTGTTTCCACAGCTTGTTGTTACTTATTCTTTCTGGCCAGCTAGCCATTTGATCTTCAGTATGAATCTAGCCAGCGAAGTGAGCAGTTGTTGATGAAATTCTGCAACCTGTTGGAAATCCTCTTCGTGACATGCAGTGCAAGTTTCTGACCCGTATAGATGGACCGACTTGACATTGATGCTGAAAATGCTAATTTTGTTTCTTATGCTGAGTCAGTGTAGACGATTTTCAAACTGACTTTAAGTTGACGAACGCGTATCTTTCCTTTTCGACTATAACTTTGAAATCTTCATCCTTTTCGAATGCCTGTAGTTGAAATGATGTTTTCTGGATAGGTAAAAGGCGTAACCTCTGTTAAATCTCTTTCGTTGATGGCGACTGCTGCCGGTTGTTGTTGCTGTTGGTGGTGGGTTGTCTTAATTAGCCCCCGTCTTCTCTATGTTCACCTGCAGTCCTCTCTTCGCTGCCAGCATCTTCAGCCAGTTTGTTGGTTTTCGCCTATTGATCTTCCAGTATGTATAACATCAGACATAAATCATCTGCGAAATCCAGATCTTCTAGAGTCTTATCAACGGTGGTCCAAAAGATTCCTGTCTCTTCTCTCCCCACGCACAGTCTAACACATAATCCAGTTCACCACAACTCAGAATATCATCGGTGATAATAGGCAGCCAGCGTTGTCTTACTCCAGTATGCCCTTCGAACACTTATTTGAGTTTTCCGTTTTGGATCACCCGAGACGTGTTGCTGTCATATAGCCGGCTGTTGAATGAGGATGTTAAAGACTTGAAGTACGCCATAGTGTTGAGGCAGTTTCCAAATTACTTCTCGGTCAGTGATATCTGTCAAAGGCCTTTTCTAGGTCGATGAAGATGAGGTAGAGTGAGGTTTGACTGTCATTTTATGCTTTGTTCCATAATGGCATTACGTAGAGTTGCAATTTGATCAGAACACGCTTTGCTTTCCTGAATCCAGCTTGTTCCAGTGGGCGGCGGAGTTCTGTATTTAATGCACCTTTTATTATCTCCAGAATGATGTTGTTTGACACTATAGATTATAAATTTTCATATTAAAGGCAATGCCTAATAGGATATAGGGTGATGGGACTCTGACGCTGTAGGTACTCCATTTTTATAAACTAAAATTGGTTGTTGTTTTTATTGTTTCCATTGTACTGTTCACAATTTTCTTTCCAAAAGGCGCCTGTACAGGCTACAGCCACTTCCTCTACTACAACTATTTCTTCTAATGAAGTGCAGTTAATTTTATCTCGAAAAGATGCAAATCCAACGAAAACAATCTGTCAAGGTCAAGCATGGTCAATCTCCGCAGATATTACCCTTCCACCAGGTAAACATGAATTGACCATTGAAATATTTGCTCCAAGAAAAGAATTTGATTATATTGGCTATATTCAGTATTTCGGTATTTCATCAACTGACAAAACAATAATCTCTTACACTACCAATGAGAAAAAGGAATATTTTGTTAATCAAAAAGTAAGTCTATTATTCATATGATAACATTGGATCATTTTATTTTTGATTTGATCTTTTGATTTTGGATTACAGCTTGATTCCACACTGTATTTTTGGTACAAGTGTGGAATTTTCAGCGTGGATATCGGTAGCCCAAAATTCGCAGGCCAACCATAGATATCAGGTGTGCGTCGGTGTGGGCTCGAACCTCGGACCATGTGCACGGTCGGCGAGAGTCCTAACCACTGTGCCACCGACGCACACGCTATACACGCCCCCTCGAATAGCTTAGTGGTGACGTCTCTGATTGCAACACTCACTGAATGACGCGAATTCAAATCTCAGAAGAGGAATGAGTTCTCCTAAGGCTGCAGATACACTTTTTTGACTGGTGAATGGCAACTAGCACGAAACCTAGGCAGTCCAACGCTTCCTGTGCCCAACTGCTACCAACCATCTAATACCAACAATTCACAGTTCACTGTGATGGTGAACCAACTAGAAAGCGTAACTGAGAGAATTCAGTCTGCACCAAAGAGAGGACTAAACACATTACACGAGTTACTTACCAGTGTCTAATCAAAAATATCCATAAACTGCCTGAAATCAATTCATAGAGTTTTCCCAATGAATGAAAAAACAAGGCAATATTGCTTTTACCGATAATTCCCTATCCAAAGATGCTGAAAGCTTAATCAAAGTAGTGATATTAAACCAGAATTTGCCGAATTTCACGGCTTGTCTACATGAGATATTTGTAACGTGTTCAAACCGCTGAATCCGAAAACACAATAAATCAAGCGCATATTGTAAAAATTTGATAAATGAATGAAATTATAAGTGTAGCACGCATTGAATTCAATAAATCACACAGTGAAACATTATTACTTGCTGGATAACTAAGTTTCGAACACAATGTATTACTGTTCACAATCATATCATCAATTATAAATACACAGTGCCGAGACTCCTGTTTAATAGTTTTCTTTGTTCCTTCCTATTTGTCGTAAGTATAGCAGATGTCTTGGATAGGTGCTGCATCATTCCTACTGTACGGATTATAAATCGGTTCGATAAAAAAGCTTCCGTTATCAGTCTCTGCCTCCACCCTATTATGTTAGATTTTAGAACTGTCATCATATCCTATCCTATTGTGTGGTTGTGTGTGATTGCATGCAGTGTCAAAAGTGAGCTATTCTCCAGACTTACTATCTTATCAGGGTCAACTAATCTAGATTTTGCCAGGATTTTGTGCTTTTCTAGTCTGAGAGAGACACTGCGCTACGCGTTTGGCCTGACAGTCTTTTTAGGAAATCAAATAACTTAAATTGTTTTGTTGAACGAGCCCCACATGATTCTTTAATTGACATTGTTTGCCTGCAGGTGAATTTGCGGGTTTAAATGTCATTGTTATTCGTGCATTGCTATTCCAGCAATGCCTAAAACTAATAATCCCAGTAGGATGTATGGCTCATAAGTCAGGATACCCTATTAGGCCTATAGTTCATTTTAGAAATTCACCTACTTATGAATTATCTAAATATTTAGCCATGTTATTAAATCCCCTTAAAAGCCACTCAAAATCTAGACTAACAAATTCTTATGAACTAAAATATAGATTAGATAATTTAAAATTATATAATGAAGAAAAAATGGTTAGTTTTGACATTGTCAGTTTATATACACGTATATCAATAAATATGGCTATAGAGGCAGTCAGAAATGAACTCATTCCTAACCAAAAACTCGAACTTAGGACGAAAATGCCAATTGAGGACAAAATGCCGTGGGTGCACCTGTGTCTGACTTCCACAGCATTTAAATTCCAAGGGGAAATATATAAACAAACTGAGGGGGTTGCCATGGGATCAACAATATCCCCGGTTGTGGTAAACATATTCACGGATAGTTGGGACAGCATAGCGATTGAAACAGTCACCCCCAACCCAAAAGTATGGTGGAGGTATGTAGATGGCACATTCACTGTACTCAGAACACAGGATATAGGTAGATTTTTCGAGCACATCAACTCGAAGGTAGAGGCAACTCAGTTCACTTAAGAATTGGAAAGTCAGAAAGGGGAACTTCTAATGTTAAATTGCAACGTTAAAAGGAAAGAATATTCGAAGTTAAACGTTAGTGTTTACAGGAAACCCCCACATTCAAGCAGATATTTGGACCTCCTATGTCAGTAAAAATAGGATTGGTGAAATGTTTAAATGACAGAATACAAAAACCTAGTAGTACCAAGGAAAATCTAAGACAGGAAGTGATACACATAAAAGAAGCCTTGAAACTTAATAATTACCCTGACAAACTAGTCAGGAAATATGTAAGGAAACGTAAAAATGAATAATGATAGTAGTGACAGTGGTATTAATATTAATGACGACAGGCATGTCAAATATGCTCAAGATAATGACAACATCAACAATAAGGAATCTAAATCATCAGTATTAATTCCATACAGGGAAGGAACCTCGAAAACTGCCTTACGCAGAATTATTAACAAGGCGGGAATAAAAGTGGATGGTATTCAAACCACCCAAAAACTCAATTAGAAACAAGCTTTGTCGGCTAAAGGATCAATCCTGTGTAGCCTTTTGAAACAAACAATTTAGTTTATCTAATACCCTGCCTGAGATGACTGACAGGTCAAATACATAGGTCGAACTAGTATAACAGGGGCAGTCAGACTAGCCGAACATAAAAACCTGGCGAAATATAGATTGGTTGACCCAAATAAGATAAGAAGTCTAAAGAACAGTAAGTTCAGCTATAGCACTCACTACATGCAATTACACACAACTTAACCATACAATAGGGTTGATGGGATAGGATGACAGTTTTAAAATCTATTGAGACAAGGTGAAGGAAGAGATTGATAGCAGAAGCTTTGTTTTTCTAATCAACTGCAAATACATGTAATAGGAATGATTCAACACTTGTCCATCCAGATACCTGGAATATTCTACTACCCCTACGACAAATAGGAGAAAACAAAGAAAACTATAAAACTCAGGTTTCAAAGTCTTGTGATTACAATCGATATGAATATGAACAATAAATTTTGTTCGAAACGTCACCCAGTAAATAATACTGTTTCACTGTGTGATATATCTAATAAACAAACTAATATGCGATTACTTATTACCACAGTGCCCAAGTTTTACACATATATTAATAAGGGAACACAGACATTCACCTGCACATATTTAATGCAGTCACTTTGATCTGGTTAAATCACTGACCACAAACTTTCATACCATCTTCTTCATTTCACTCTCAGACACCAAACACGCCTGACGTGTCATGTTACTTGTCTGGTCTCTTTAGCCTTTGTGTGTTCTGTACAACCCGTTGGTCAATAAATTATTAACAATGTTTTTCTAAGGGATGTTCTTAGTCATAAGTTCTCTTAACCAGCACAACGTAAGCCAAACGCAAATGAAACAAAATATTTTGTGGACTGCTTCATGGTAGGTAATGTAAAGTGAACTTCGGTTACTCTAAACAATGGCGACCTAAATTAATGGACTTACCGATCAGATGAACCCATAAGAAAAACGCATTATAATAATTACTTGCCAGATTTAATCCAGATCCAGTATATCAGTAATACCTGGAAAATAGGCGTATATGAAGTGTTAAAACCTGTAGACGTTCAAGAGTAGTGTACCTACAGAGGCATATGGCAGCTATTGACGAATACGTGTACAAATACTTGGGATTTTCTTGCAGAAAATCTGTTTGAGAAGGTTCATAGATGCCGCAGTTACTTTCTTCGCTAAATCCGAAGTTGCCTTTAACGAAAATTCCCATTATGTCCCACAAATAGGTTTTTAAAAGACAAATAATTGTAACGTTGTTCAAGACAGAACATTCACACATGTCTGTAGTGCAGTAGTATTAACGCCATAGAGATAAAACGTCTTAGAAAATGAACAACATGACTCAGATACTTGTTCGCATTAATGTCGTTGTTCACATGAATTAAACTGTGAAACATAATCTAGGTCGTGAGTTATATCACACAAGTTTGCAGAAAGGATATATGGAGACAATGGCTGATCATAGCACTAGTGTATTATGAGCTATTGTCCAGAGTGAAGTACTGCACAGGCAACTACTCACACTCACAGACCAATGCAGTAGCTACAGCCGACTGCCATTTATAGGATGAATTTCCAAATCCCCCCCCCCGTTGGGACATACAAATTCTGTCAAACGATTTCGACGTCACAAAAAAAAGAGAATTAAAGTAGTGAATGAACCACACAGCAGGACGGTATTCATTTATCTGGGCGAACTCAGGTATACAAATTTATCTGGCCTCCCACTTAAGACCCTAACAAGGAATCAGGAGGTATTCGTCGAACGTGTACAAGAACAGAACAATGTATAACTATTTTCTGAACACCACACCATACTTCTATTAAAAAAAGATTTAAATTACGCGCTACTACCCTGGTATCATCTGATTGGTTTATAAAAGTTAACGAAGGTCATTATGACGGTGTTTTGCCTAAAATGCTAGAGTTGAGAGTCAAACTAAAGTAGCATTTTCTTTCTCTTATTTTTGCTATATCCTGAGATATCGTCGATGAAATCATAACCATAAGAAACGATGCATTCCTTAGGTATCTCTTATTGCGTATTTTACCGTTTTTCTAGGTGAATAAAAGTTAAAGACAGTCAGTGTTAGTATGTTCCTGATTATATTAACCGACAACTTTCATATTCAAAGTCTAAAGTAAATCTTTATGCCTAATATTTCAGGTGTTCAGACAGTTATCTTTAAAAGTGACCAACATTACAGTAAAAGATCAACCTGCTTCAGCGACTCCCGCAGGTTTCCACCTCAAATTTGCTTCTATACTTTGGACAGGCCAAATTTTAATGCAAGATGAGGAAATGCACTCTGGAATAATAATACACGCTAAAGGTATAATATGGTGTGGGATACTGAGAATGATTTACTCAACCAAGTGTCCTGAAATTCCTGTTGAAATGTCTATCGCATCACATCCACAGGTGATGTTTCCCGCAGATATATCTCCTGTAACTGCTGAAGTGTTTCTTCCAGTTATGAAAGAGAATTATACAGTAAGTGAATTTCCCTAATTTAATTAGTTAGTTTCTTTGAACAGTCTCAAATTACACTTATGTTTCACGTCATGAAATCATTATTTTGGACAATAGAGCATTACTGAAAAGAGAATAAGAAGGATAATTATATAGCTTAATATCACAATAATGGAATAGTTTACAAAGAATGAGATTGTAACACGAAAAAGCTGCTTCGTAGAAAAAAGTAGAGGTAAGCATCCATAATATAAAACAACACATGTTGTTTCCAGTCTTAACTCTAATATACATAACTATCCCCTAAATGTAACAAAATGGAGCTATGGAGGAGGTGACACGAAGAGGAGATGAAAGCATGTTAGTAGACGTAAAGGCGAGGAGGAAGTGTTAACAGTGAACAGAACGCAGTGGAGACGTGTGTCTGTAGCCCTATTTTCCTCCAAGAATTAAAGGAAACAATAATAATTATTAATAATACTGACAAGTCATGACTAGTGGAGTCTATTCATTCAAGTGTGAGGATGGCGACCCAGCGATGACATTGGTAGGTTGTTCAGCTAAAATCACGAATGGTTGAATTCATTGAACATTGAACTGGGTTCCAGTGAGTGAATGGTATATGAGCTGCTTTACTAGCCAGAGGGTCCTGGGTTCCAACCCCAGTGGGTGTGTACTGCCGATGTTTAATAAACTTGTATGAAACATTTGTCCAGTACTCCCAGGTTCTCAAATGTTCCCTAACTAATAATAATCTATGGTCAAACTGGAGAAACATATCAAATCCTTAAAATAAACCCGTAAAATATATATGGAATATGAGGGGAAATGGGATGAAATAAATGAATAATGTGTGTGTGCGTATATATAGTCAACAAAAGTGCAAGTTTCAAGGGTGATTGTAATCAGTAGTGTGTGAGACAGTGTAAATACTACATAGAAATAAATGAACAGATAGGATAGGCTAGGAGTGATTTATAGAGTGACTAATGAAAACAACAACAATCATGGTGAAATAATAACGATGATGTGGTGTAAACTTTAAAGTACGAGTGTTAAGTAATAAATTATTTAGTGAAGTGGAATGAATAGGATTGTATAAGTGCAATAACAAGTTTGAAAAGTATTACGTAAACCTGACGTAATAGACATAATAAGTAAGCAAGCAACGTCAGGAAGTATAAAAAGGTTTGAAATCAAACGTGCTGTCTACAAAACAAAGAAAAAACAGAAAAGTATGGGATAGGAACTTAAAGTGTCTGAATTTATGGGGATAATGAAAAAGATGTTCAACTAGTCTCCAAACCTACAATCCATACCGTCCCTAAGAAAAAGGTTTTCATCAAATTACCATATAACGGGGAAATAAACTGTAGGATTGTGAGACAAAGGTTGAATTCAATCATCCGTAGAACCTATTATGCAGCCCAGCTTGTAATTGTGGAAAAAGCCAAAAATATGCTTCACTTCAAAACTCAAAAGTGCACAAGTGATTATATCACATCCCACACTATTTACCAATTTTCGTGTGTGTGTGTGTGGACACACATACATAGGGAGGGTTAATCGCGCTTTGCATGTGAGGATGGGAGACCATATTCCAAAATGGTTAGAAAAACAAATGAATTGTCCAAAACCAATAGATGCAGGTATCAGACAACCAACTTCGTCTATAGGTAAACATCTAATCGAGATGAACCATAAGATTGATGTTAACTCAGCCTTTAAGGTCATCTATAAAAACGGTCAAGGGCGTTTACTGAAATACGCTGAGGCTATAGCTATTCATAGACTTAAGCCCCTCTTGTTTATTCAAAAACAGTTCGTCATTACTCTTAACCTGCCTTGGTAATCTTTATTTGATTGGATTACCAAACGTTTGTGTCAATTATTCTTAATTCCGTTTTCTCTCACTTTGTTTAATTTAACCTTTCTATATATATTGACTTGACAAGTAAAATGTGTGATCAGATTGTTCGAAATGTATAGCGCTAATACATCACATTTTTCAGATAGTCTCCGTCTTCTAATAAAGCTATCAAAATTTATAAAAGGAACTAATTGTTTTAAATAAACAAAAAGGTTGAACATAATTCTTTAGTGTACACAGACAACGTGTTCTGGTATCGATTTATATCGCTTCAGTCATTGATTTTTTTATTTTTTTATTTTTGATTGATTTTTGATTTACAGCTTGATTCCACACTGTATTTTTGGTACAAGTATGGAATTTTCAGCATGGATATCGGTAGCCCAAATTTTGCAGGCCGACCATAGATATCAGGTGTGCGCCGGCGTGGGCTCGAACCCCGGACCATGTGCATGGTCGGCGAGAGTCCTAACCACTGTGCCACCGACATTGTCAAGCCCTCTAGATAGAATACTAGGGGCACGATAGACTATATTGCCTGCAATAATTCTGCTGAATGTCAAATACGTATATATATATATATATATATATATATACATCAAACATGATGTTTTGTTTATGGGATAATGAGATGGTGAATATGAATTCTGCGATTTGTCATGTTAGTAATAGTAATAATTCTAACGATAACAAGGATAAAAAAGTGAGGCGATCTGTAATAACAGGAATAAAGAAAAACAGAATGATAAACAAACAAATATTCAGATAGAAGTAGTCGATAAGGTCTAAGAAAAACAAACAGTGGAAAGTAAACAAAGAGTATTATTTTCGATGAAATCAGAATCAAAATCGACACATACACATACATCATAGTGAAAAAATGAGATAGTGTTATAAACCAAATAATGTTTCAATAAAATAAAACAATTAATATCGATAAATTACACTTGAATAAAATCAACATAGAATAAGCTGAATTTTAGAAAAATCAGGTAGGATAAAATTACAATTTCATGAGTTTATAGCTTCTACTGAAGACCAGGGCAATAGTAGGGGTTGGACTTGCTTCTTTTGGACACACAGTGCTAGTTGTTTTAGGCGAATCGCAATAGCCTCTGCTTTTTGGAGCCTGTGGTGCTTCGATGTTTTTGGTAATTTATTTGGCACCCGGTATAATATAGAGAAGGATTCATCTACGCTGGCTTTGTGTCCTGTTTGCACCAGATGTTCCAGTATCGAGCTGTTAATAGTCTTCACTACACCTTTACTTAACCATGCTGGGAGATGTTCTCGAGCACGAAAAATCAAGTTCCTAGAGCAACTGGCTCCACAAGAGCAGTTGAATTGATAGATACAATTAGAAGTGGCTAGTCTAGGTACTTCATCTTTCAGTCGATGAGTCACCATCGGTCGTGTAGATAATAAGACGTGTAGTTCGCCAGCAGTAAAAGTTCTTTGGACTGATTTTCTTAATTTCTTCACAATCATCTCTCTTGGTATATCGCCAATGAATTGTAGTCGTATATAAAGAGGCTTATTTTTCACAGATAGTGAGTGCTCCTTTTCCTTTTTCTTTCCCATATGTCTCTTGATAGATTTTTCGAGATAGCCATTTTCGATTAAAGTATCATATACAATGCTTAATTCATCTTCAATTACTTCTTCTGAGCATATAGCTCTAACTCTGTGGCTGAGGGTCTTCACTAAATTTCTTTTATATTTGATAGGAACGAAGCTGTGAAAATGTGTATATTTTCCTGTCCAAGTGCTTTTTCTATGCAAATTTCTTTTTATGCTACCATCTGGTTTTCTTGTGAGTAAGACATCCAGGAGAGCGATTCTGTCTTGGGATTCCTCTTCGCATGTGAATTTCATAGCCGAATGTACTTCATTGAATTCAGTGATTATTGTACTCTTATCAGAACCATTATCACAAAGAATAAAGGTACCATCCATATATTGGCAATAAAATGAGAGCTTACTGATAAGATTGTTCAAAGGTCCATTTTCTAGCTTAATTAGAAAGAAATCAGACAGAATGGAACCCAATGGGGAGCCCATCGCAAGCCCGTCCACTTTCCAGTAAAGCTTGTCCTCAAATTTGAAGCTTACATTGATTGTACACTTTAATATCAATTCTTTTAGGATTTCAGTATGGATGCCAATGTTTATCGACAGCTTTTCCACTTGTTCGCCTATGTAATTAACTGTTTCTATAAAATGTATATTTGTGAATAATGATGTTATGTCCAGAGATATCATGGTTTTGTCCTTGATGTTAATATCTTTTATTTTGTCTACGAACAAGGGACCCAGTTTCATCATCCAACTTGGAACTAGAACGCTTCAAATCCAGTCGAGTGGATTGTTGTTTTCATTGCAAAAACCTCAATTGCAACAGTAAAAGTTTCTTGAAAAAGAAGCACAGAGAAGAACTGAAAAAACTGATTAATGATGAGAGGCTGATAATCACAAAGCCGGATAAAGAATTTGGAGTAGGCCTCCTTGATAGAAATGGTGGATATATTAAAAAGATGAATGATATATTGAAGGACACACAGAAGTTTCAAAAACTTGAGGAGAAGAAAGATTTCAATAACAAAATAGAGAATGAATCGACCAGACGTTTGAAGAAACCAGGAGAAGAGCACATATTTTCTGAAAGTTTATATGAAGAAATCAGACTAACGGGCACGTATAAGCCAAGATTGAATGGCCTAACCAAAGTGCATAAATCAGTGGTACCATTAAGACCAATACTTGATATGCAAAATTTGCCCTACGATGCTCTAGCTAGATGGTTAGTAAATATTCGCAAACCTTTGCATGAGAAGATAGTGAAATATGGCGTCAAAGATGTATTTGAATTCGTAGACAAAATAAAAGATATTAACATCAAGGACAAAACCATGATATCTCTGGACATAACATCATTATTCACAAATATACATTTTATAGAAACAGTTAATTACATAGGCGAACAAGTGGAAAAGCTGTCGATAAACATTGGCATCCATACTGAAATCCTAAAAGAATTGATATTAAAGTGTACAATCAATGTAAGCTTCAAATTTGAGGACAAGCTTTACTGGAAAGTGGACGGGCTTGCGATGGGCTCCCCATTGGGTTCCATTCTGTCTGATTTCTTTCT